TGAATAGTATGTGGCCTAGCACAGAACCCTGAGGCACACCACTCATGACCTTAGACCAATCTGAAAAAGGAGCCATTTATCGATACTCCCTGGACACGTTCCTGTAGCCAGTTCTCTAGCCATGTACACAATATTTCATCTATGCCCATAGACCTCAGCTTGTGTAGTAAGCGTTTATGAGGTACTGTGTCAAATGCTTTTGAAAAATCCAAATACACCACATCCACCAGCCTCCCTCCATCCAGATCTCTACTTATCGTTAATAAACAGGTTGAATAGTATGGGGCCTAGCACAGAACCCTGAGGCACACCACTCATGACCCTAGACCAATCTGAAAAGGAGCCATTTAACGATACTCCCTGGACACGTTCCTGTAGCCAGTTCTCTAGCCATGTACACAACATTTCATCTATGCCCATAGACCTCAGCTTGTGTAGTAAGCGTTTATGAGGTACTGTGTCAAATGCTTTTGAAAAATCCAAATACACCACATCCACCACCATCCCTCCATCCAGATCTCTACTTATAGTTAATAAACAGGTTGAATAGTATGGGGCCTAGCACAGAACCCTGAGGCACACCACTCATGACCTTAGACCAATCTGAAAAGGAGCCATTTATCGATACTCCCTGGACACGTTCCTGTAGCCAGTTCTCTAGCCATGTACACAACATTTCATCTATGCCCATAGACCTCAGCTTGTGTAGTAAGCGTTTATGAGGTACTGTGTCAAATGCTTTTGAAAAATCCAAATACACCACATACACCAGCCTCCCTCCATCCAAATCTCTACTTACTTCTTCATAGAATGTTAGTAGGTTGGTCTGGCATGAACGGTCCTTCCTAAATCCATGCTGATTGTCATTTATTATACCATTATCATGAACAAATTCTACTAAGTAGTCCTTTATCATTCCCTCTAACAGTTTGCAAACTATGGATGTAAGACTGACTGGTCTGTAGTTCCCAGGTTGGCATCTTGACCCTTTTTTGAATATCGGTACTAACGTAGCCCTCCACCAGTCACTTGTTAAGGAGTCCTTGAAAATGATGAATAATGGTCTCGCTATAACGTTGCTGAGTTCTTTAAGTACATTGGGGTGCAGGTTAGCTGGTCCTAAAGCTTTATTGGCATTACGTTTTTCAATTTTATGTTGAACCCCGGCTATTGTCAGCCACTAAGGTATATTTTGCAACAAGACACTTGTATTCTTATCTACATTAAACCCATCCTTTTCCCGAGTGTATACCGAGGAGAAAAAAGAATTCAACACCTCGGCCCTCTCCTTGTCGCTTGTGACTAATCTCCCATTCTCACCTTTTATTGGGCCAATTTGCTCCTTTCTTGTCTTTTTACTGTTTATATATTGGTAGAATTTTTTTGGGTTCCTTTTACTAACTGTGGCGATATGCTTCTCGCACTCTATTTTAGCTGCCCGAATTTTATGTTTACATCTCTTATTACATTCCTTGTAGTTCTGGAATGCCAAAGCCATCCTCCATCTTATATTTTTTAAATGCCATGCTCTTGTCCTTGATGTGTTGTTTTACTGTCTTATTTAGTCATACTGGTTTAGTTATTGATCTTTTATTTTTGTTACACTTGGTAATAGCATTATGTAATGTATTATTAAAATAATCCCACTTCTGGTCAGTGTTCAGTGTGAGAAATACATTTTCCCATTTGGTGTCACATACTAGCTGGCACAGCTTATCAAATTTTGCCTTCCTGAAGTTTAGTGTTCTTGTCTAACCAGCACCCTTCTCTTTTCTGTACCCAATATTAAAAGTAATCACATTGTGATCACTATTACCCATTGTCTCTCCAATGGCTATGTCTGCAACTAAGTCCCCATTATTGGAAATTATTAAATCTAATATTAAATTTTTCCTAGTTGGGACCTCAACCATTTGATCCATGAAATTGTCCCTCAACAGGTTCAGAAAACATCCCGCCTTTATCGATTGAGAGGTTCCATTAGACCAGGGGTCAGCAACCTCCTGTGGCTCCGGAGCCGCATGTGGCTCTTTCATCCCCCTGCTGCGGCTCCCTGTCCAGGGCAGATCAGCATTGCAAATCTTATGTGCAGGAGAAATGATCCGCCCTGGAACAGCTGATCGGTCCTGAAATGTCACTTCAACTTGTGAGTGCGGTGGAATGTGAGATCGCAGTCGCAGAGTCAAGTGACATTTCAGGACCGATCAGCTGTTCCAGGGCAGATCGGTTGTCCTGCACATAAGATTTGCTATGCCAATCTGCCCGGGAATAGCTGAGAAAGCGCTGGAATGCGTTCACCTATTGGCGGTCACACATTCCACCGCCAAAAAACTGGGCGGGATTACATTGAAATGTGTGACCACGTCACCGGTCACACATTGTAACGTAGTCACAAACTTTGATAGAACACCGCCATCAGGGGGGACACGGCCAGTAGCCATGTGAGGGGGGCCTCTTACATGAATATCAGCTGTACCAGTGGAGGCATGGCAGAGGTGACAGGGGAGGGGGTGGAGGAGCCCGGGCACCAGCAGCAACAGGTAAGAGGTGTTGGGAGGAGGTACAGGGAAAGGGACCCCAGCGACCAGCCCACCTGAGGACCGGTGGAGCCCACTATAGAGAGTCTCAGATGGGCTGTGCAGGATCTATGGTGTGCTCTGCAGGGTCTCAGTTAAGCCCAGAGTCCAGTGCGTTACTAAGCCCACATATACCTATATACATACTATACTTAGCATAAAGGTCAAAACCGATATATGATGTGTTATCTTCATTTTAGATGTAAAAAGGGTTTTGTGGCTCCCGGTGTTTTCTTTTCTGTGGGAAACGGGTCCAAATGGCTCTTTGAGTGTTCCAGGTTGCTGACCCCTGCATTAGACCAATCGATGTCTGAATAATTAAAGTCACCCATTACAACAACATTACCCTGCTTCCCAGCTATTTCTATTTGGGAGTGTAGGTGAGCCAATTCATCCAACTATTCATCCCTACACAGCTACCTCCTCATGTATCACTTGCCCCTCCCTTTTCGATTGTAAGTCCTTACGGTCAGGGCCCTTCTGACCATCTTGTCTTGAATTGTATTGTGATTGTAATGTCTTCCTTATATTGAAAAGCGCTGCGCAAACTGTTGGCGCTATCTCATCTAATCTCATTTTTGTTGTAGCTGTCATGATTTTACCCTAGATCATATTTTGCAATATTAAATAGTTACATAGTATTTGAGTTTGAATAAAGACATTAGTCCATCAAGTCCAACCTATTATGATCTCATTCTAGGAGTACCTGTACCCCTGTATATTGCGGTCCCTTAAGAAATCGTCCAAAAGTTTCTTGAACAATTCCACATTATTTGCTGAAATCACCACCTGTGGCAGTGAGTTCCAGACCCTAACTGATCTTACTGTGAAGAACCCCCTTCGCCCCTTGTGCTGGAATTTTTTTTCCACCAATTTTAGGTGGTGGCCTCTAGTTTTTGTAATGGAGTTAATTTTAAACAGTTTATCGCTAATGTTGCTACCACCATTGAACATTTTGTACATGGAGACCATATCCCCCCTTAATCTCCTCACCTCCAATGTGAACATGTTTAAATTTAGTAGCCTTGTCTCGTAGCTCTGGTCCTCCATACCCCTAATTAGTTTGGTTGCCCT